TACTTACTAATAATATCTAAGATTGCATGTTTTGTAGAATGCTGATTCCGAAATCCAAATTGATGACAATTTATAATAGAGTGTTTATCAAAAAAAATTTTCAGGCGCACAAGAATTAACTTTTCAAAAATATTTGAAAGGCATGACAGAATAGATATGGGACGATAATTAGACACATCTTCTTTCTTTCCAGCCTTAAACACCGGAACAACCCTTGCCACTTTAAGATGATCCGGGAACACACCGAAGCACACAGAATAATTAAATAGTTCGCAGAGTACAGGACTGATTATGCTACCAAGAAGTTTGAGAAGATAAGCGGGTATATGGTCATACCCTGTAGCTTTGTTTGTTTTTAGAGAATTTATGATATTTACTATTTCGGTCACTGAGCAGTCTTCCATAAACATAGATGATGTATTTGGAGTACCCATGTATCCAAGATGTTCGCTATCGTCTACATTATGGAATGCCTCAGATAAGTTTAGACCAATCTGCGAGAAGTAAATATTGAATAATGAGGACATTTCCCCACTACTATGCACAATATCCCCTGACTGAGGATTAAGTAGTCTTTGGGGAATATCTTTACTAGATTTTGAATTTATTAGCGAATTAACAGTATTCCAGGTCTTTTTGGGGTCGTTTATATTTTTTTTAAAACACTCAGCAAAATACATTTCTTTGGATTTGTTTTTCAAGTGACATAATTTGTTAGCGTATTTCTTATAATGTTGCTTTTGTTCATTAGAACCATTAATAAAGTGAGTTTTGTGCAATTTATCTCTTATATTGGTTGAGCGTAGAATGCCAGAGGTAATCCAAGGTTTTTTTTCCAGTCGACGCTCTTTTCGAGTTAGTTTTCTAAGTGGTGCATGCTTGTCACAGACATCTAGCACCTTGGAGACAAAATCATCAAAATATGTATTTAAATTTTCAGTACAAATACTACTAGATATCTCATATGAATAGAAGAGTTCATGGGCATCCCTAACAAATTTGTCCGCATCAAAGTATCTCATTTCTCTTTTTAATCTATGAAGATGATGGGGTAATGCATGATTGAGTTGGAATTGACAGAACACAGGGTAGTGGTCAGTCATACAATTCTGCCACACAAATGGCAAAATAACCTTTTCCGATATATTTGAGTACACATGATCCAGTAACGTAGCACTAGAACTAGTAGTTCTTGTTGGGTGTGTTATCAGTGGAATTGTGGCATGGGACCTCAGCATGTCAAGATAACCTCTGGTAAATTTTGAAGAGCTCAATAAATTAATGTTAATGTCGCCTAATATTATATATTTTTTGTTGTCAAATGTCAAATTGTACAAAGTTTTGCTTAGGGCATTGGAAAATTCAGATTGATCAGAACCGGGGTGGCGGTACACTACGCCTATAATAATTGAAGTTGACTTTTCAGTACGAATAGGTAATTCAATCCATAACTCTTCACATGCGGTGATGTCCAAAATATATTTGTTGACCAATGATGGATTTAGGTGAGATTTAAAATACACTCCAACACCGCCAGCGTTGGTTTTTGTTGGAGCATGGAGAAAATCATACCCATCAATATTAATGTTTACAATGGGATCTGTTTTAAGTTTGGTTTCTGAAAGCGCTATTATTGTAGGAGATGAATCTAAATTATATATGATGCTGGACAACTCATCAATATGTTTTTGTATTGATCGTATGTTGAAGTGAGCTAGGATAAGTTGATTTTTTGTCAAGCCAGAAGGGGTCAGGACATTTCGAACATCATCAATAGCTTTAATTGATGCACATAGTTTAACATTTTGAAAACTGAAATCTGATGTATCAAGAGGGGCATCTGGTTCCTGTTGTCTGTCCATTTTCTTTGGCAAATTTGTAAATGATTCTGTACAAACAGGGCAAAAAGCACTGGTACTATTTTTCAACAAAATTTTAAAACAATTGGAACAGAATTTATGATCAGCCATTTTGCTAACCAAAAAAAAAAGTCAAAAACATTATTTACACACACAAATAGATTAAGATAGTTTTTCTATATCAGAGAGTTTAGTTATGGGGATTCTTGGGCTATCTTTGTTTTTTTTTATGTAAATATTTCCATTAGTGGTCCACAGTCGCTCATACGTTTTTGATCTTTTGGCTACTCTGGCATTATATAGTAAGTTGTTTCGATAATGCGTGAGATTTTCATTAATATATAGAGACTTCATACCTGTTATGCCAAAATCTTTCACATCAAAAGTTTCATATTTCTTGGATAAAAACTGGTTTCTTTTATTTCTGTTGGTGAATCTGACAATAATTGGTCCAGTTATTGAGCTATTTTTCCTGGGGATTCGATGAGATATTGATAAGTCCAACCTTTCGACAGTGATGCCTAACAATTTTCCTATGTGCACAATAATTTTGTCTGTATCTTCACCTTCAGTGTAGGGAATACCATGGAATTCCAGGTTCTCCCTACGTACATACTGTGCGAGATCGTCAAATTCATGGTCAAACCGTTGCTGCAGGGAAAGGCACATGTTCAGCAGGCTTGCATTGCTTGCGGTCAGATCTTTTACCATTTGGTCTAGTTTGGCTATATAGTCTTTCTGAATTTCGAATTCAGCATTTATGAATTCCTGACTGGCCTGCACAGCACAGATATTAGTTTGTAGATTTGAATGGTCTACGCTAATACAATCCAGATCTTTTGATAGCTTAGCAAATTTTTGACCCAGCTCGTCACTCTGTTTGAACATGGCTTCCAGTTTTTCAGTCATTTGCTGAGTGTTATTTAAAACAGACTCATTAATTTGAGTAGACATTCTTTTGTCATGCTCACCAATAGAGTCTTCTAGTAAATCCCTGATACTGTCTTCCACGATTGCTTTAATTTCCAGTTTCAAATTTTTGGTGATGTGAGCTTCCATAAGGTCCAATTTAGATGACAATTGATTGAATTTTCCTTCCATTTTCAGAGTTTAGTTTTAGTTTCTATAACTATAATATTAGCATACACAGCGAACCTGTCAAAACTTAATCAAACAGCGAATAATAGAGAAAATAGGACAGATGGTAACACATATTTATTGCAGTAAAAGCGTCTTTTCTGTAAAACGTGCAACTTTTGGAAGTGGGAACAAGACAATATTTGTTACTAAATTTCTAAGGAACATTTTAAAATCATTTTCAGGTAGTTACCTGATGTGCGCTACGAAACTGAAAGATAAATGGCCTCGGCTCGCGGCCTATAAATAAGTGCCTAAAAAAGTGCCTACTGGTAACAATTTATTATTTCTAAAATCCAGTACTAGACTCAAGTGCATCTATTGGATATTTACCCAGGCTAATCAGTGTGAGTAATATGTTTATGTCTCTGTCTTTTATTAGTGATAATTGCCATTTTATTTATTTTTCGAAGTGCCCAAATATGTGCCTAGCATACGTGGTGACAGAGCGCGTGCGTCTCCCTTTAATACTACGTTTTAAATATTGTTATTGAGTTTGCCCGTTGCAATTTGCGTTTTCAACTTTTAATTTGACCATTTTTAACTAATTAATGATGGTTTTAAAAGGTATTACGCCCTTTTTACTAAGTGCCTAAATAAGTGCCTAAAAAAGTGCCTAATTTGCAAGTGCCTACTTTTAGTCCGTCCCGTTAAATGTACGGTATAAAATACATTGAGGAAAGGCGACTGAGGATTTACCGAAGTGGTTGCTTGACACTAGATTCTGAGATTAAAATACACTTGCAGATTTGACATAACGCACAGATGCAGTTACAGTTTTAGGTGAGTGAACACGTACCACTTCTTTTTCAATACCTTCCATCTTGTACGTTTTAAACCTTGTCCAAGGTTTTGTTTACTCTCCTGATTTCATAATCAGTTTTTATTAATTTGTTTTTATCAACCATTTTATCACTTTTTTGCTGATTATAGAGTCGAAATAAACTTATCTTATCAGTGATACATACAACAGCTAACTCGCCGTGGCGACTACCTACTTGGCAAACACTGAAACAGCAGAATGGTACGGTACCAGTACCGTACCAATTCATGGTATACAATCTGTAAACCATGCAAACTAATGGAAGAATTTTATGCAATAGACTGATAGAAGGTTAGGATAGGATAGATTTTACATATTTATCCCGGGGGAGAGGAAAGCCGATAAGACGACTTATCCATATGGCAGTGTGGCGAACCATGGCCTCTCGTCCGGTTACCATTCCAAGTCGGGTATGGGATTAGTTTTTACTGTATTGTTTGTTTTCGGAAGCATGGACTTGGTGGTGGAGAAAGCCGTAACCGACCAGCGGTTACGTGAACCACCAACGACGGCGAGGAGTCCAGCAATCATCTCGCACATACGGTAACCATCCCTGCATGGGATTCGAACCTGCGAACCCACGCAGAGTAATTAGAGGTGCGGTGGCGAGCGTATTCCTAACGCTTAGCCCGTTGAGCCACACCGCCGCGCCGCGTTGTACAGTTCAAGGGTTTGTACTGAGTCTGTGAGCTAAGTCAAGTTTGTTTTTTCCAACCAGTAAAAAAAAACCATACACAAATAGTGAGAGAGAGAGTGAGATTTATTGCCACAAAAACAAAATCAACACTAATATAAACAATAATAGATAATAATATAATGAAGAAAATATTTCATCAGTAATAAACAGCGATTGATTATTGTTTTGTGCGGGTCAGTGTGCAGGACCGATTAAGGTCATCTAGGCTCCCGACCCTTTTGTAAATGCTGTATATAAGGTTATCATGGCATAATATAGTACCATGGGTAAATGCAAATGGGATTAAATAAAATATATATAAGATAAAGAAAATGATATTTGCAATTAGTGGGCTACTGGGGAAGAGAAGCCTCAGTTGAAACATGGATAGTATTGTGGAAGACCATAGCTATTTAGGCCTTGATGCTTGCAGGCTTCGGCATATTTAGATACAGAATTAGATAACGATACGGTACCGTACCTTGCCGCCTTCAGTACGATATTTGTCAAACTTTTTTCAGTTATCATTAGGTTAGTTACGTGGTTTAAATACCATACCATGGCATCCACAATGTCGCATCAGCTCGTGGCTTTATCAAGACGACTTTTACCACAAACAAGATTCGTACTTCCGAAGAGATCTGAAAGCTCTATTGTTTATGATGCTACAAGAAAGAACATGGCTATCCAGAGGAGTACAAGAGTTATCTGTCAAGGTTTTACTGGTAAGTTTTATTATCTGTTTTAACAACTAATGGAATTAATTATTTGGATTGCTTGAGTGGCTCATTGTACACAAGAACATTCCAATTTGTATTTTTTAGATTGATTTTAAGGTAAATTAGATAGATCACACATTTATTATCAAGGTTTCTCTTAATATTATAAAATTTATAATCCATTTTAAAGCACTGTTCAGTGAAACTCGCATCACAAGCCACACATCAAATTTATCAGTTTGCATAAAAGGATCCGCATACAAAACTTCGAAATTATTTGGGTCCGGTCTTTCCAGATATTATATTTTGGCATCCCTAAATGCACACTTCCTCCAGCGGCTAATGATTATTAGCAAATCAAGATTGGGTACTCCTGAAGTATGCGCACCAAGATGTCGCATAGCCTGAACCCTAACCTGGTACACAACCTGAGCGCATACTTCAGGAGGTCCCAAGATTGTTTATTATGGTGTTATAGTTTTTTTCATATATATTCAAACTATAAAAAGAATTTTATAGAAGAAAACTTCAAAAGTGGGGCTAATGATCCAAAATAAAGAATTAGGTGCGGTCCGAATCCAATACTCGAAAGGTCCGGATTTGGTCCGCCAGTTGAGTATCCCTGGCATAGGTTACACAATATGTAAATATTATTTGCTGTATCTCATTTTGTCTGCTGTGCAAGTACTACAATGTTTTATTAATTTCACCTCATATTCACATAATTTTTGTTCGTAGAAATATGGAATAGTATCAATCTCTTAAATTTTTTAAACCAGTAATATGACTTGTCGTTTTTAGGCAAACAAGGAACCTTCCACAGCCAACAAGCGATTGCATATGGGACCAAGATGGTTGGTGGCGTGTCACCAAGCAAGGCAGGAACAACTCATCTTGGCCTTCCAGTGTTTGCATCAGTGAAGGATGCTGTGAAAGAGACAGGGGCTGAGGCATCTGTGATCTATGTGCCGCCCCCTTTTGCTGCCGAAGCCATAATAGAAGCTATTGATGCGCAAGTGCCATTAGTTGTTTGTATCACTGAAGGTATTCCTCAACAGGACATGGTTCGTGTGAAGCACAAGTTGGTACGTCTTCATTTGGCGATTACAAAAATTTATGCTCATACTATTATCTATACGATCGGATATTTCATTGTACAATAATTTGCTAAATAACCGGGTATAAGGTTAGTATTGCATCTGGCATGGCTGTAAATTATCAGCTAAGTATAGAGTTCTACCTGGTTTTGTTTTAAGTTACCATCATATTTGATGCAAATTTATCTCACCACTATTTCTCAGCTAACCAGGGCTACAACGCAAGCATTCAATGTTGTGTACTTATGCATATGCACTCATGCTAAACCGTAGACTATTGCCACTTCAATGCCCGCAAAATTAAGTAGAAATCAATTGGATTCATTAATTACTGGTATCGGGCAAGTTTGCTATGGTACATTTTTCGGCGCTCCAGAAGTATGTGTACCAATATGAAGGTAACTAATTTTGTTCGCCTATCTTACTTCAAGTTGTGCAAAGGGGCTGAAACCTATGGGCAGGGGGATATTCACTTGGTTAACACAGACAGTCCCCGAACTCGTAATAGAATTAAAATAAGAAAAATGGGAAAAAAATTATTGCCTAACCTTAAGCTAGTACACACACTACACTTTCTACAGGAGTACCCATTTTTTAACATGGAACAATAAATTAAATGCTTGTAAATTGGACACTCTGTAAATAATGCGGCGCTCAAAGCTTCACAAAATCCCTCAGAAATTGATTCGTTTTAATTCAGACATTTTTATTTCTTTCAGGTGAGACAAAGTAAAACAAGACTCATAGGTCCAAATTGTCCAGGAATTATCAGGCCTGGTGATTGCAAAATAGGAATCATGCCTGGACACATACATAAACCAGGAAAGATTGGTATCGTATCAAGGTCGGGCACATTAACTTACGAGGCAGTGCACCAAACTACACTGGTTGGCTTGGGACAAACATTATGTGTTGGTGAGTTACTAATTAAATAGCAAATGTTAGGTTGCATCTTATTTAGAAACACAATTTTTGTATTATTCAATTTTCATAATTTTATATTTCCCTAGGAATTGGTGGAGATCCTTTTAATGGTACTAATTTTGTTGATTGCCTGGAAGTGTTCTTAAATGATCCTTTGACTGAGGGCATTCTTTTGATTGGAGAAATTGGTGGCGGTGCTGAAGAAAGAGCTGCACAATATCTTATTGAAAATAATATGGTTAGTTATCATTATTAGCATATGTTTGTGATGGCGCCTGCTTTTTATTTTATTTTCAATATTTTCTCTGGGATATTGTACCCGAAACTTTTCCGTTTTATTTTAAATCATGAAAACTCTGTCGATCATGATCTTCACACCTGCCTTCCATTTTGATTTTGCAAATTCTGTGCTCAACTGAATTTTAGTGTGAATCACATAGGCTCATGGTACCACGGTTAGTTATTGGAACTCCGTGTCCATATATATCCGAGTATTGTTATCTTGTATTAGATATATTATGCCAGACTTTCATTTCTTGGTTCACAGGGAAGAAATAGTAAGCCTGTTGTTTCCTTCATCGCTGGGGTAACTGCTCCACCAGGAAGAAGAATGGGACATGCTGGTGCCATCATATCAGGTGGTAAAGGGGGAGCAGAAGGAAAAATTGCTGCTCTCAGGGATGCTGGAGTAAACGTAACTATGTCGCCTGCGCAAATGGGGACTGCCATGATTGAAGAATACACCAAATTTTATGGAAGAAAATCTTCTTCATAAACCATACATGCTTAACGTTCAACCAGGTCATGTGTTTAATAAATTGTTTATAACCTCGTTTATCCCAAGGTTGAGCCTGTCTTGGTGGTGAGTTTGTGACAAATTAAATATATTATCTTTCTGTGTAATTTATTCCAAAAGTGATTTTTAAGCCCTCAAGGATTTTCGAATATAGTTTCTCTCAACTTGGTTATCGTGGCTGTTTACCTTTTTATGGACAAAGTTGTAGTGGGAACACTTGAGTAAAAAATAGCAGATTTACCTGGTAGCCCACATCAGCGGAGGTCTCAAAAGGATCGCAAAAGTTTGGTCCATTAAGATGAACACCGGTAAGCTTGAGAAAATGTTAAATTGTGATGTGGATACCGAAGGTACTGAAATTCCTGTATTTCGCTTGCCGTACTCTATTGAGTAGAGGGTGCTCCAGAAGTATGTGTACCGATATGAAGGTAACTAATTTTGTTCGCCTATTTTACAAGTTGTGTAAAGGGACTGAAACCTGTGGACAGGGGGTATATTCACTTGGCTAACACAGACAGTCCACGAACTCGTAATATAACTAAATGAAGGAATCGAAAGAAAATTATGGCCTAAACTGGTGCGCATACTACGGGAGTACCGAATAGAATAATATTCTCTTGTACGAGTCCACGAGCATAGCCGCATATGGTGGAGACGAAAAAGAGCTCGGCGGTCGGAACGTCGTGCTGAACGTTGCGAATATGCATCGTAACTCTAATTGCAGTAGACGGCGTGGGTTCACAGGTGCGAAGCCCATGTGGGATAATTATGTGCGAGAGAATTACTGGACCCCTCGCCGCTGTAGGGTGGTTCACGTAACCGCTGGTCCGTTACGGTTTGCTCCACCGTCAAGTCCGTGCGTCCGAAGCAAATACCTGGTAATAACAAATAACTGGTTAACTTATCCCATACTTAACATGAACTGGTAACGGGACGAGAGGCCTTGGTTTGCCCTATAACAAGGCCGTCTTCTCGGCTTTCCTCTCCCGGGGGATAAATATGTAAATTCTATCGCAAATGAAAGTAAACGCCACTTTGGTCTAGTTTGCAAATAATACAGAAAGAGAGCGTCTCCAAATCGGGATGCAAATCAACATATTTTATTCAGCGTACAGGATTTTTTCTTTCGGTGAATTTGTAGTGAAGAGACACGCAATCTGCATTCCTAATTCTAATTGATTTTCCTATTTTGAGAGCTGGCGAATGCTTTGTACAAAAGAATCTGACGTGCCTTTCTAATCTTTGCATGGAGCAGTTTGAAAATGCTTGGTGCTTGCTGCTGGGGATTCGGAAACAATAGACTGGGGCTAATGGAACATGCTCAACTGAGCACAATTCGACAGTGTTTTACTTGTTATATATATAAAGGTTGGTTTTGTTGAACACACTCACAGTAAACCACTCAAAACCCTTTTTTTATCTAAGAACTGTCATTTTCCAGAATAGAAGTTTCAGAACTTAGGCATAATCCAAATATATATAAGACAATGAACTTGTTCCAGATTTAGTAATAAGAATCTAAAATTTTCAACAAGTAATTCTACGATGGAAGTCTCCTTGAATACGCATGTCGCCAAAGTGATTTTTATGCAGCCAATACGGAAATTTTATTTGAGGATTTTGGCGATGGCGATGCTGACTCGTTGCTAATTTTTAACAGCATTTTTCATTGAATTTTATAGACAGTCCCATTGTGTGTCCAAATATGCCCCCAAGTGAGATTCAGTGGGATATTTGACAAACGTATAACAAAGCATTTTGGTGGTAAAATGTGCGTGGGAATTTGCTAGTCCTAATTTCCTATTGAAAACTAGACTTGCCCATCTCTGTATTAGCCCTGCAACGGCAAATGAATGGGCAGATTATCAAAAGATGCAAAGTTCCAACCTCCTTACCTTTTCCCCTACATAAACTGTCGAAGGTACCGACGGTAAAACCACAAAATTATTAGAAACTAATGCAAAAATGTAATATATACTTGTTGTGGCTTAGTAACTACATAAATACGGAACAGTAAATTATTCACTATTTTAGCATTTCTTTGGTATTCCAAAATGTTTGATTTTTTGGAAGGAAACAAATTTGGTTTATTCGGTGAAATTTTCAGTTGTTAGAAGACTAATAAACCTACACCTTGACATAAAAAGTGCAGCAGATTGAAATATTACACCAGTGGTGGACAAGGGCGTGCCAAACTCTTATGCTGCCCGGGGCGAGTTTCTGATAATGCTGCCCCTTAAACCTAACCATAAAAATAATTCGTGCAATGAACAAATTATAGATGTTGTTATGCACGAGAAGAAATAAATTAAAGGCCAATTAAGTAGAATGGAAACGTTTGTTCTAATAAATAAATCATCAACTTAAGCAACAAACTCACATTTACGAGATCGAACTCATTTATTAGCAAAAAACAAGTCACTTATTTCTATGTCCAATTGCTACTTTGCGACTAACAAATGTCTGAACGATCGCCTTTTTCCCTTCGTTCGTCAGGAATTTCTTTTGTGTAATAACGCGGACTACAGCTCGGTTCTGCTGCCCCCTATTACGTGCTGCCCGGGGCGGCTGCCCCGTTCTATAGAACCGGCTGAATACCACCACTGCCTACAACACATTTAAATAAATTTTGACCTTCCTCTTTGAATGATTCATTATACTTGTCGTTCTGATTAAGTTCTTTCATTACCATATTTACACTGTATTTCATTGCGCCTAGACTTGCTTGTTAGACACAATTTTGACAATCTATTCTTATTTCAGTTTATATATGTCACTGCGGACAAAACAAGATTCAAATTAATTTCAGAAGTGGTATTGTTATATTCACAGAATGCGTCACCCTTGGCTTCGACCCGGGCTGATAGATTTGGTCAACTATTGCTTGTTATTTCTCAAAGAGTTGACTTACTCCATAAAATGTGTTACAATAAAATGAAGAAAGAAAATTTTGGTGGCATATCGGGTCCCATAAGACTCAGATAAAATTTAAAAGAAAAAAGTAATAGCGTTTTAGCTCTTTCCCGGAAACAGTTGATTTTCTTTCCGGAAAGTTCAGCATGCAAGCAATTTGTGCTGGAGTATGAAACGTGTTAATTTACATTTCTGAAAATACGTGAAAATTGTCGCTATCAGCCTTCAAGGTGAATTGTTCAAATCTGATATATATATAAGAATAGACCGGCTTTGATAATATCAAAAAATTCTAACGAATCTTGTTCGTGCATTTCAGGCCCAACTTTTCATAAGCCTTCAATATTTACTTCTACAAATATATAACATAAGCACATCATTCAATGGCGTTCGAGAAAAATGAAAAAGACCAAAACTGAATATTCAAATAAGACTTTCGACACAAAGTAATAAGTGTAATCTAACCCACTTTGGCACTTTCAGCTTTTATATTGTGAGCCGAATAGTACACATATTCCAACAAAGTATTACAACAGTTAAAAGCCGTGTTTTACTCTGCCTCCAGCCATGGTAGATATTCCACAGTTGATATCTGTCTTGTTGAATATGAATTCCCGGTCTGTCATTGAATCGCAGAAACGAAGCCTCATAAATCCTGTTATCCAAACATCATCCAAATGAAAATAGGGATACCATCTTGAAACAGTGTAAATTGCGCTTGCTTGTTTCACTGACATTGAATAAAAACCTCCCAAACAAAACGGTGGATAATATTCATATGGATAAATTTCCACGCTGATCTGCCATTTGCATTTATTTCGTTTTGGTTTTGCGGTTGGTCGGTAGCTATAGGCGCAAAATATTGGTAATTTTTGTGTGTTCAACTTATCATATGAAACACCACTGACAGAGTATTTGGAGAAATTCTCTTTTTCTGACATTAATTTTTCTATATTTTTGTATAAACGAGAAAAATCCGGTGACATGTCATCATCTGCTGATGAATATATCCAATTGCTTGGGAAATGATCAGCTGTCCATTGCATAGAAGCTAGGGCTTTCAATCCAATGTTTCTGTTAAAAGATTATACTTGAAAAAATGATATGAAATAAATCATAAACCGCACGTGGTCCATATTAGGCTTGCACGTAATTGACAAAAATCAATTCCGTAATTACGGCCAAATCGATTACGTAATGACCCCGTAATTGCGATATTTTTTTCACACTTTTAAACCTATCATAACAACCAATTTAATCCACTTCTATTCCGAATGGGACATCGACAGTTGAGACAGTTTGGTTTTCATATTTCCGCCAGTACTACACGCCGGCGACAGATGCTAAATACAAATATCAAGGAGTGAATTTAAATTAATTTTATTTTGATTTTTATCTTTTGTGTTAGCTTTGATTTTCCTTTATCAACCTTATCACCCAATTTTATGCGATCAATTTCATCATTACCAACACTGGTAAGTGGTAATATATTTATGAAACGATAGTTGACTTTTTTTAAATCGTATTAACGTATTACTACGAGTTTCGTATTAAATAAAAATTCCGGGTTTCTAATTTATAAATCAACGACGAGCGTATTCTCTCGTTTGATTATACTTGCGCTTGCCTCGCGACGAAGACTTGTTATTGTACCGTTTTTTTTACATTATCCGACTTTACTACTTAGTTAGCATTTTATAATAATTATTGATGCCGACTTATTGACGATATTCCGATTACCATGCTTCCTTTCACATTAAATCATTTCGCGGCCTAAATGTTATAACATTATTTGCGATAAATTTAGATCAAATATTATTTATTTGCGCATAATTTAAATACCGTACTTATATGACATGCCTTCTCCGAAAATACAAAGTTATATCGCAAAACAATGCATTTTGTGACATTTATTTTGCACTCACGAAAATATTAATTTACTTTTCTAACTCAAGTCGACAATCCTATCGGCTAAGATTGACACAAGTTTTGTCGAGTGCCGGTGGTATTTGAGTCGACGATAAATCAAAATAAGTTGCCGCATTTGGTAAAGACTTAAAGATTTTGTAAAGACATATTTGGCCGAAATAGTGCGAGGCATTGTGAAAACAAGGCCAAGTCCGGACAGATATATAACGATAAAACCGGTAACAGAGTATCAAGATTTTGTAATAGAAAATGGATCTCGCGCAGAATAAACGTGGGAAATCCCGTCTTTTTGTTGTTTCTCTGCCGTCTGAATCGCTTTACCGATGCCGAAAAGACTAAGTTGCGTCGGTTCATTACGCAATTTCTCTTCCGTCGTCATATTGCTGTTTGATAAGCGCGACATTAATTATCACGGCATTTACAAATAGACCATGTTTGGTAAGTTGATCTCTTACATTCTTTAGTCATTTCACCCGAAGAAGTTGAAACCAGGTGTGTTGGCGTCCATCGGTCTCAACACAATTCTATCCCATAGCTACGCTTAATATGTACATTTGCCATGCTAGATAAGTTGATAATAGGTTAGTAAATGGCAACGCGTTATGCCTTCTCCATCTGCGTAACAAGAGAGAGAAAAACGGCTGCGAATACCGGAACTCTAACTTCTTCTACTTATTAAACTTTAATTTTTTACAATCGACGGAATTGACTGCTCTGAAGAGAGCTCGTTTCAATCGCGAAAGCGCTCCACCGATAATTACGAATTTACGTAATTCGTAACTTCGCTTCCGTAACTCGAAATAATTCCGTAATTCCGTAAATCCGTAAATTACGTGCAAGCCTAGTCCATATAAACGTTATGTCCCATCCTTGTTTTAATGTACCAATAATAAATGAACCCATTTACCCGTCAAATGTTGTAAGGTTGCGTGATCGAATCACATTAATTGTTGGTCTAACAATAACATTCCCTAGATAACAGACTCGAAAGAGGTTAGCATGTTGACAGATGTTGAGATCTTATTTTTTAGGTTCCTTTTTGCACGATTTCTCACGACGTGAGATAAATAACACGACTGCGGAAAGCGTGGTATCGTTATGTGCAAATTAAAAATTTACCGATATGTTTCTTCCAATTCAACCTGTAAAATATCGCCATGTACTGATTCTTCTTTTCTCAAGTTAAGGTTCTCTTCTGTGGTTGTTGTACTCGCAACAACAAAAATAACATCTAAACAAACTCCATCGAGAAACTTATTGAAACCCCATGTTTTTCTGATACGATTTCGTTGTTCAATCCTATTGTATCCTGTCTTGACTGCAACAATCATTGCCCATCGAGAATCTGTAAAATATGACAGGAAATGTCCATTGAATTTGCTATACACATGTCTGCTTACACATACTGGTTGATACTCTCACTATTTTGCTTTCTTAAAATATATTACGTTGGAAATGTGACCTGTTGAATGATTGGTATTATTTGTACACATCATTTTCCAGGGTGCCATAGTAATGTTAAACAAGGACCGTTTTGTATCCATCTTCTTTAAAAAACTTATTTCTTCCAAACCAAACTGTTTGAATGAACTCATAGGATGAAAGAGAGTAGGTTCAATAGAGTAGTTCATTGAAGTTGGCAGTTCCATGTAGCTTCCCAGCATATTCATACCAAGATTGTGTTTTCGCCATCTAGAGTAAAAGGTTTCATGTAAAATTGTAAAGAAACTGCAATTGGATTTTGCTAGTACTAAATAAACATGATTAAGTCAAAATACTTGTTTTAGATAATTATCTTTAAATTTGGAATTCTGGATACAATGGTTGCTAAAACAGATCAGCATTTAGATTTCAAAATTCAGTGCACTGCAATAATTCCTTGTACATGCATATTGTATTTAAAAAGTTCGGATTCAAACTTCTATAAATTTGTGACACTCTTTTCCAGACACACACCAAAGTTCGCAACTAAAAAAAAAACATATTTATTAAGAATCTTTATTTGGTATTGATTTTACACAATACATACACTACCTTTCTTGGGTAGAGGTTTCATACAGATAATATATCATTCCGCAAAATGAAAGAGTAATCAATATTGCTAAACCATTCCTTATGAATCTTGTTGCCATGAATTACTTTTCTGCAATTAACTCCGAGTAAACCGCCCTAAATTATAATATATAATATCATACATAATAAATATTATTTGGTTCTGTAATTTTCTATTCAATTTGAACGATTTATGACTTTGAGTCGCTGGTCATTATTTTTGGCATTGCTGATAAACACTAGCCATAAACCTAAGTTGAGAAATAGAGTAGGCTACGTTGAAGCAAAATCATTTTGGAGAAGCACAATAGCTTTCTATGTCTGAAAGACTTTTGTTAGATAGAACACTGGCCAACAAAAAGTTTTGATACAACCCTGAAATAATTCAAAAACATATCATACTTCTACCCCGGCTCACAGCTCATACGTTTTGATCAGCACCTTGGCTGTGAATAGCAGTGAACAACTGCTGCTACTATAGTGAAATAGACTTGACGTTTTTAGTCTTGCAAATGGACACCTGCACATCTGCACTTATTTAAATGCGGCTTAAAATAAACTTCCACGGTCGGAATGCTAAATTACAGAGATGTGTTCAAAAAAAAATACTTATTTAGCGCTACGAACGACTGTCCGCCATAAATCTTATATGTCAATATGATAAGTGAGGAAAAAAGAAGATATAATACGATAGCGTTTTGTGCGCTGTTAATTATTGACGAATTGTAAGGTGTAATAGATCTGACCATCCGACGCAGATAAAATAAAATTGGCATAAACTAAACAATTTTAATAACATCAACTCTTGTGGAAACTTTGGGAATCAGAGCAGAAATTTATATTCTCGGCATTTGAAAGTTCAATGGTTTTCCGATTGTGTCACTCTCCCTAGACCGCGACATACTGCCAACGAGTTAGGACCTGTAAATGCTGTATACCTGCGGCTGTAACGACGTCTTGGAATATGAAATATACTGTAGTTTAGTTTTCACGAAAACGCTATTTCGGTTGAATTTACAAAACGACACGTACACGCCACGTTCACAATATCTAGACAGCGTAGCGGAAATTATTTTTTTGAGTTTAGCTTAGGTTTTCTTCAGAAGCAAAATATCCACGTTAGGCCCATTTCTGTTTTCTATAGGACTAGAATAGCCCACTTAGACCAAGCACGAACTTTGAGCTGAATAAGTATAATGTAATATCTTATTTACACATACTTCTCGGACGTCATTAGGTTCTCATTTCCAGTACTAGTTGTTTGTTTGTCGCGGTGTATTCGCGGTTTGTCCTTATCTATCCGTCTCAAGTGAATTCCTTTTATTAATAATTGCCAACCTTCAAAACATGAGTACCTTAGTGATTTTGTTGACATGGCGACTTAGGGAAAAGAAGAATACATTTGCTAATATACTAATTGGACTTCGCAACGTTTATCTTGATTCCTTGTTTTCGATTTTTGCGTAGAAAATGGGAATCTTTGTCTAACTGCGTGGAGCATTGAACTGTCCATCTCTACTCGGCCAGAACTAGATTCCGACTACATGTTTTACTATATATATGATTAAATCGTTCTATTAAATTGCATTTTTGTGGACATAAACATGATACATTACTCTTTGAATTATTTTTCTTGCAATTCCCACCAGGAGGCAATCAAGAGTTGAAGACACATGATACCAGAATCGTATTTCAGAATAGCCTAACCTGGTAAACGTTCCAGATGCATGGATTCGGACGGCGGGAGACGGCCTACACACATGGGGTTACCTAAATCGCCGCACAGAGGAGCCCTGGAATTGTTATTCATATATTACATCACTATCTCCTATATCAGCGGATCTCAATCGGCGAATTGTTTCAAGAGAATTTGCATGGCAGTTGAGTTTCCATGTAGTTTATATTTTCATATTTCGAGATATTACTGCATCAAAGTGATGGATTTTGAACGGACATACAACTTGCCATTTTGGAAATTTGAACATAGTTCTCAGATCAATTAACGCTCTATGGTATTTTTTGACGTAATTGTGCCATTTTTTTACTCCCATGAAAGTCGGAAAAAAAACTTGACAATTTTATAGCATAAAGATTTATTGGTTTATCTTCTCAATAGACACTTTGGCGCGGTTGCTGGGCTTGTCTTTATTTGCGCCATTGATTTAAAATAGATTCTAAGAATGAGAAAGTGGCTTATGACCAACTAATACCAATTTATTATTAAATTTATATTTGATGACATTGAAAACAATCATATTTCATACTCGGTCAGCAAATATTGCAATCGCTTTCTGTGTCTTTTCATTTTGAACTAATGCATCGCGTGTATTATTTTGGAGATGCTCATCACTTTTCGTTCTGCAACAATATCACTGTTGTTCCAGCATCATAAATCCTGAAAACTCCTGAAGAATTTTTTTCAGAAAAAATGTAAATTTCGTTTCAGCTCCTTCACCTTTCCTGTGGGTTACACAATTAAACAACCACGCCTTTAGCAAACCTGGCCACAACGTCGTTAATTAATGAATTCCCTAAAGACATCCTTTTCCACATTTCAACTAATCATCAATAAAAAATACCATTTATTTGTTTTTAAAAAGGCCACAATGACTCCAAAAATTGACCTGTTGATCAAACTTGAATGGGTATCGACAAACAGACATTTTCAGCGCCATGTTTGGTTGTCGATTACTTCGAAAACAAACAAAGACTTGAAGAAAATTCGCCATAAATAATTAATGTTTCGAGGAAGTGTTGTCATCATTAAGCATAGTTTGAAGTTTTTAATGGTTTGCTCTGTCGGGCCTTAGGGATTTGCTAACAAATCGGACTTGTTCAGGCGCAATGAATTTGGTTTAGTATGCAACTTTTTTGACGTGGTTTGTCGTACGTGCTTTCGTCCCAATTGCTCCCAATGACGCCAGACTAATGCAAAACGTTTGAAATGACGAAATTAATTGATGCATTAGTTTTTTCTTGAGTTGGTTGACTCGAGTGAACGCAATTTAAAATTGTCTTCGCCGTTTGTGAGGTTTTGCCGTACAAGAGGTTACAACACCCAGCAGTCCTGTTCACTCTTGTTTGACACAAACTTTGAAATTTTACCACGTTGTTCATGTCAATAACACGCAAAGTTCTTGTTCATGTCTTCATGCAAGGTTCTTAAAATATGTTTATATTGAGCAGATTTTAAATTTCCAATACTGTGTATCAAAATACTGAATATTTGACTCGTTATGTAATATAACCTACATAATAAACAAGAGAGCAATGCGAAAATGTACGAACGCGAAGGTCCAGGAAACTAACCACAGTACCGATAGTCTACGACTGTACGCGACTTACATTGAATTGTGGTTAAACACCGATAACGAAGAACATGTGTGATGTACTCGGCCACGCGTGGCGGAATAAAACAGACGTGGTGGAGGTACAGGAGTTTGTCCTAACACATATTTGCGCGACATATATCCGTCACACATAGGACAACAGTTTAGGAATACCAATGAACAACATTCGATGCACAACACGAAATAGTTTTAGTTATCACAAATAGTAAGTTATTCGAATCAGTTGAGACGAAAATTTCCAATTGTTTGCCATCTTGTAAAAAAATGTGGATGCTATATGTATTTTTGAAATGCAATCATGACATATTACTCTATTCTTCCAGTGATGAAACATCTTTCTTACTGTGTGTGACAAGTCAGCAAACTGACTGAGTGATGGATTCTATGTTTTCAGTAAAATTTAGGTCTGGAGGACCCATTTACAACAACAAAAGTCATTTACAATTACGTCGCTGTATTAATTCAAATATCTTCCAGATATTAGAGATTCGATTCGGAAAAAAATACTCGATCCGATTCTGAAATCATCTGTTTTCGAAAAAGCCCAGCCCCAGTCGTCGGTCTTCTCTTTTACATGATCCAGTCCATATTTTCAAAAAGGTAAGCTGGATGGCGTTTTTCTTTTCCGGAATAAATATGAAATCAAACTGACAAATATTCATAAGCATTGATATTTATAATATATGATCATTTCTGGCAATGAGGAAGCGTTGTTCCGGCAGTACAAACACAGCCAGGGGTTACGCAAAAAATATTCTACACCTCGAAAATTTGAATGAGATAATCGTGTGTACTGTTGAAGGCTCTCCATTTGCATTGTTTATTAACTTTATTCTATATAACATGAGGACATTCGACTTCTATTCCGTGTAAATGGATTTAACACGCAATTTTATAAAGTAACAAACAACACGCTTAAAGCGATTTTAAAGCAACGCGGAAAACTTCGTTTCCGTAATCGTCATTAAATGACGTAATTTGTTCCGGTTGTCGAAGAAATTTTACGTAGAATGTACATGGTGATGCGCAAATATACCAGTAAGAAATTCTACTTTATTAACTGCTATTACGGAGATTTACTTATTGCGTAATGGACCTAAACTGAGTAAAACAATCTTTAACGTAGTAAAATATAGCCTACGTAAAAATTGCGCTTGACCGCACTTCGTTTGATTCAGACAAGCACATCAACATGACAAAAGTAATAATTTCCTAATGCATTAAGACGTTTCGATTTTTTCTGAATGTCACCCGTCGTGTTTACTGACATTTTTTGTAAGAAACGTTTATTTTCGGTTTATTAACCTTTGCGATTTATCAAATTGTCAAATTCCACGCAGATTTGAACAATCGATTGATCGACCAACAATGACATTATTGTAAAATGTCAAATTGAAACAAATGTACTACGTTCAACCTAGTTAATGACAGTTTCGTCAAGATTATCACCTTTCGCCTATTTTTTCATGTTTCATCGCCATCATTCTCATTATTGAATTGAATAATTTTCTGCATGTATACGGAGACTCCCTAAAAACAGAACACATAAATTTATCAATTACTTTTACGAAAATAAGAAAAATGATTTAACACTTGAACTCCTATTTGTGTATAATTGTACCCAAAATGAATTGTGTTTTTGGGTCGCCCTGAATAAGGGGTTTGAGCTCTACCACGTGGATTGATGCGTATGTGACAGATTCATAGCGTTTTATAACTTGCTTTTAAAATTTCTTCCCACTGTCTATTATTTTCTCTGCACCACTCACCACCCACCCCTTTAGCATAAACTTTATTGCTCGAGAAAATTTTAAATTGAGTTTGAAGACAAATCAACTTGGCGTTGCAGCTACCATATAGTATATTTACCACCGCTAATCTATGGGCACACAGAACAATTTGAATGAGCGAAAATTTTTACGTTATTTCCGTTTTGACTCTGGGTTGTTCATAACCTACTGCGTTAATACCAACTAAATCGTCTTACCAATATATCCCATCTCACAATCTTAACTATCGCTAAAAATATTTCACGGCGTCAACTTTCAATTAGAATCGAATCAAGTTCAATTACGGCAAACTACGTCGTTTACTATGTAGGTTGTGATTGTGTATTGGTATTGATTGCTCCCGATAGATGAGAGTATAGCCGAGTTGAG